AAACATTGTAGACGAATGCCTTCAATCGGAGGATATCACCCGTATGGATTGGCCAGCATACTCACCGGACTTGAATCCAATAGAGCATGTGTGGGATATGCTTGGCCGACGAATTGCAGCCCGTCAACCCCCTCCCACCTGTCTATCGGACTTTCGGAGGGCATTGCTTGATGAGTGGTGTAATATTCCCCAAGATCAGATTGATAATTTGATACTCAGCATGCCTAGGCGTTGTACGGCCTGTATTGCATCGTCCGGGAGACATACTCCATATTAACCATCATACTAACCATGTTATACTGTTTTTTGTGAATAGGTTCTTTCTTGAAATTTGCTCCAGGGAGTAAAAATCGCAATTTTTATTAATTATGTCAAACATATAGCATCTTTTTTGCTCTTTACATTTTGTTTAATACATAGACATTACAAATAAGCCAAATTTGTTTGGCTTCTGTCTCTTTCTGTGCCTGAACTTCATTATCCTTAATTTATGGACATGAGTGTACTCTGTGCTGATATTTAATTAAAAAAATCTTTTTTATGTAAATTTCCTTTTAAACTCCAATTATAAGAATTATAGTATACATCCTAAAAACAAGGCATAAATCGCGCTTCATAAAAATGGCATGAAACAGGACTTTCAAATTCGAAAACATTATAAAAATTTAAAGTCTTGTTTTAAAACACGATCTCTAAATTTTGAAAAATTCCAATTCGGGACGACAGTACGATTTTAATGAAGTGATTTTAATCAAACTTTTTTTTATCAAATATAAACTTAAAAAACAAGATGTAAAACTAGTACGTTGTAAAATTCAACTAAAATTAAACTCAAATTAGTAAATACTAAATTTAGTATTTTTAAAATAAGATGGTGAAACAAAAACACTGTTTTATTTTTAAAGCATTTTATCTGAAATTTAAGACAATTTACTTTCTACCATTTTTTGTACTTTTACAGCAAGCTCATGAAACAAAAACATTATCTTGTTGCGAAACATCTGGGAGAGCTGAATTTAAACATAATTTACTTTCGGTAAAAAATAATATTCTAATAACAAGCACATGTAAAAAATAGATTGTATTGTTAGAGAACCAGTGAGCTCGAAATTATACCCAAAATTCAACACAATTTATTCTCTATAAAATTTTACATATAAACGATAATTTTTTTTAACAAGAAATACAGTCTTGAGCTTCATAGTAATGCGAGAATATTCTCTTTAAATTTTAGATATTGGAGATATGACTCTTGTGAGTCTTACTTAAGAGCTGGAAGTGATGAAGAGGATTACATGGCCATAGAAGACAGCGAAAGCGATGAAAAAGCTGGAAATAAAGTAAAAAAGAAAGGCTGTTTCGCTTTCCTGTCAAGAGTGTTTAGCAGGTTGTTCAAAAAAAATTAAATTTTGAACATACCATCCTCAAACATCTAAGAAAAAGCTTGCACCATATTTCTATCGAAAATTGTAAATTTTTATGGCGCATTGTTGTTTGTAAAAAAAAAAAAAAAAAAAAAAAAAAAAATAATTAAAAAAAAAAGGGCACTAAAAGATAACATTGTTGTAAAAGCATTATATCTGCTAATCTATGCAACTTAATTTAATAATATGTTCAGCTGAAAATTTAAGAACTCTAATTTGACCATCACAGAAACATAAAAGAACATCACAGAAGTCAAAGTGAAAGTTTTATATAACAGAAAAATAACTAGACTTCAAAGAAGATGACGCTGTGAAAGTTTTATATCTGCAAAAATCTGTAATTTAATTTAATGTATTGTTGCAGAACATTAAGAACAGTAATTTGAACATGGCAGAAAAAAATGACGTCATAAAAGCTATAATTGCTGTGAATGTCTTACAATTTTTCGAAATGTGCAATTCAATTTAGAACATTGTTATAATACAATAGTTTAAAATATGTAAATTGAATATCACAGAAAATAAAAAAAAACAAAAAAATAATAAGTGTCTTTTTATTTGCATATTGAATAAGTAAGAATACAATGAATTGACATTTCATGAATTAAGCTTAAAAATAATGTACTAATTTATAATTTCTCTAAAATGTCAGGTTCAAAATATATAGAATAACAAAGAAAGCTTAAGTTATTGTTCCCAAATTTCTTTGTTCTACCCTATAGCTAAAATACAGCACTTATTTCAGTGTTCGGTTATTTGCTAAAAAAAACATAAAAGAATTTTGTTTTTTTCCTCAATATTTAGTTTTTCATAATTCAGCTTCAAATTAACATAAAAAGGTATTACCACTTTTATATTCCATAGTGTAATAAATCTTCAAAGAGTAACGTAAATGAAGCGTCAAATTTAATGGATATTTTTATGGGGCAACGAATGATTTTTTTTTTACTTAGTGTTAAAATTCATTTTAAGGTTTGCGTTAATTAGTCTTTTCGATAAATGGTATATTCTGTTTTCTTTTAAACAATAACTTAATCTTCCAACAGGATTTTGAGACAAGACACACAGTTAAAGTCACTTAATCTGGAGAGAAAATTTTTTATAAATTTTGCGTTGAGCAAGATTTGTCACTTTTTTATTCCCATATCTAAATCAAATATCCGTTAATCCATCTTAGAGACTAATATTTGAGCTTAAGTTCATAAGAACTTGGAATTTTTAAATGTATTACTAGTTTTTAAGTTTACTTGAAATTTCTTTTTTTTTAAGTTTGTAAGATTTTAATGCGGTTTTATACTGCCACCGGGCGTTTTTATACTTCAAACTTCTAAAATTGTCATAAAACTACTTCCCACTTAATTTATAATGCGTTACCTTTGTTAAAACTTATTTGAATAATAATTCCTTTTAATAATGTTTTGGATATTTTAAAAAAGAAATTACAATTAATTCAAATATTGTTTTATTTTTTTAAAAGTTACTTAATATTTGCTAATTATTCTTGAGGTACATAATTATAAAGTATGTATCATATTTTAGAATTTATCTTAAGAGGTTTTTTAGTTAAAAAAAAGGCATGTTTTAATTTAAATTCTACATAGCAAACAATATTACAGCATCTTTTAAAATCATGAATATTTTTACAGGTATTAGTAATTTTTTAAAGCATTTACAAGAAAAGATTTAATAAAGATTAAAAAAACGGCAAATGAAATTCAAATTGAGAAAAAAATGCTGCATCACATTTATAGTAATAATAAATGTTTTCCTATTTTTAATCTTCCAATTTTATTTTAACTTTTCATGTTCCATAATGAGCTTAAATAGCTTAATATAGCTATTTTTTTCACGCATTATTGCATTTTAGAAGATCTGACAATTTCATTAGAAAAAGATAAGATGATTTTATTAAAGAAATAATAAAATGTAAAAATGTTTTGACCAATTTATCGATTCGTTTTAAATTAATCTTCCATAACCACTCTTCTCTTCAAATGTAAGCTATGAACAAAATTAACTCAAAGCAAGCTATTGAAATTATTAAATATATAGAAGATATTTTTCTTTCGAAATTGCTAGCGAGAGTAAAAATAAACAACTTAAATTGCAAGAAAGGGAAGAAACAACATCGCCATAACTTCGCCTGCTACATTTTAGTACTTATATTAAGAAATAATTGTGTATTAATGATGAATAATTCCATATAATTATTATTTTATGGTTTAGTTATTTCCTAATTCGTTTATATTTACTTGTAAGATAGATTTAAAAGCATAAATTTGGATTTTGGAGCAAATAAAATGGAATAATCGGGATTAATATGATGTTTTAAGGAATAGAATAGCATTCTAATAATAAGTAAAACAATTGTAATTTCAAAAAGCGATGAATTAACTTACCTATGAAATGTATAAGGACCTCCTTTAAGAACTTTTTTTCTGCAACCAAATGTGGAGCAATAAATCTCCATATTTAGTGAATTTCAGCTTTACAATTTCAGCATGGAATTTCTTCCCTATTGAAGAACGTAGATTGAAAATACTATCTCTCGATTTACCCAACAGTCACGTGGTTTCATTATGAGGACAAAAATTATCGTTCTGTGCGAATTCCATTTCCCATAATTTAATTGTAATGATTTATAATTTGCAGAATATGCATTCAAAAATATGAAGTTTACATATGCATAAATATTTTCTAAGATCAAAAACTTCTTTTAGCCTATACGACCTAACTTTATATTAAACGTTATGGTATAATAACAATTTATAGTTTATAGTTATATAACATAATTATTTGTAGTTTAATAACAAAAAAATTCTAGTATAATAAGTTATTGTAATAATCATGACACTTGGAGAGAGAGACAAGCAAAGCAGACCTTTAGCTTTTACGAACGAAGTCAGAAGGTGCGCCTTTTGTTTAACAAGATAGTACGGCAAGGATGAAAACCTTGCCGTACCTTTATTACTTGCTATTGTTACTTGTTTCCAATTTTTTTCTCGCCTTTTTTTATCACACAAATGTAAAAATGGTGTAAACTAGTGATAAAATTAATTTTGTGATAAAATTAAATTTCATTAAATTTCTGTAAGTAGGATAAAAGGATAATAATACAGAAATGACGCAATTCGGCAGAAGTTACGTCTCTCTAAATAGATAAATGTACACTTAAAAGTAACAATATTAAATTGACAGTAAGAAATAAAAAACGTATGATAAAAAAATATTTGAAAAATAATGCACAGTAGCAAGATTAGTAGCGATCTTGTTGATTTTGAACAAAAAACAAAAATCTTCAAAAACTGAAACTGTATAGTTAATTCTATAGTTACTTTACCATGTACTTTAAATATTCGGACATCATTAATTTTTTCATCCCTAACTGCTGATTTAATATTGTTACTTTTAAGTGTGTATTTATCTCTTTTTTAGTATGACCTAATTTCTACGGAATTACATCATATATGTTTTAAAATCCTTACTTTTTATCCTACTGATGAACGTGTACTAAGGTCACACCAAGGCACATATAGGTTTTGATAAAATAAAAGCAAAAATCACTATTTGTGTGAACTAAGACGTATTTTCATCCTTGCCGTACTATCTTGTCAAACAAAAGGCGCACCTTCTGACTTCATTCGTAAAAGCTAATGGTCTGCTTTGCTTGTCTCTCTCTCCAAGTGTCATGATTATTACAATAACTTATTATACTGGAATTTTTTTGTTATTAAACTACAAATAATTATGTTATTTAACTATAAACTATAAATTGTTATTATACCATAACATTTAATATAAAGTTAGGTCGTATAGGCTAAAATAAGTTTTTGATCTTAGAAAATATTTAAGCATATGTAAACTTCATATTTCTGAATGCATATTCTGAAAATTATAAATTATTACAATAACTTATTATAGTGGAATTTTTTTGAATATGCGTAAAATATATAAGTAATAGTTTATTGATATTCACTAAAGAATCTTCATATAATAAGATGCTAATAAGTGTGCATGTGAGATAGTCACATACACTTTCTTATAATGATTTTCCCTATCCCAGTATTTTTATATAAATATATTAGCTAAATTTTATTTTTTAAACCATTGGACAATAATATAAAATTTAATTTTTAATAAAATTTGTCAATTCAAAGCGTATGTAAAAGCAGAGAAGTATAATTTAAAATTAACATTTACTTAGAAATGATCTTAGAAAAATCGAAATAGCGCCAATAAGTGCCGGTATAGCCTGGTTGGTAAGATGTATGGCTCGCGTTCACGAGAACGTGAGTTCGAATCTCGCAGACCGGAGAATCTTCGTGTATTTAATGGTGACTGGTGTACGTTAAATCTGTCGGGGTTACAAAATCCTCCAAGTTTCCATAACAAATCAACACCTCTGGAATAGAGAGCGTTCGTTTTCTGGTTGGTTCAAGTCAAAATTGCGATTTGTGGATGAATAAATGGATTATAATTGGGCCCTCCCTGTAAAACGGGTTGTGATGTATGTGTGTCTGAAGCCGTATTCTTGGCCATAGATGGTGCCAGGAAAAAAACAGGAAACGCACTCTCTGCCTTAAAAAATAGCTTGATTTCAAGCAGGCTTGCTGGTATTGGCAAGTGGCATAAATGACAAACCGACACTTAAACTTAGTTTTTATCAGTTTATGTATTAAAGTTTATTGACTACATTTTAAATGCTATGGGGAATTCATTGTAGAAAATTTTCAATAGTATGTTTATTCGTCAATATCCTTCGCAATATAGCGATTAAAATGGCATATAATGTTTAAAAAATTAAAAAAAGAGGAAAATTTTAATAAATAACGGAAAAACACAGATCTGAATAAGAATCTCCCGCTTAGTTGCGACTTACATTTATTTTTACTTTTGTTTTAATTTACGACTATTGAAATTAGCCATTCTTACAATAAGTGCAAAATTTAAATACAGTTAATGTCTACTGAAATTCCTAAATTGGCGTGTGAATTTGTAGCGAAAGAAATACAACAACTTGAAGAAATTAAATTTACTTTATTATTTTTGTTTAAATTTAGATTTTTCTTTATACAATTATAAATAACACTTGTTTTTGAAAATAATCTCACTAACATAATTATGTACAATTCAATTTATACAAGTATATATAAAAAAAAATTACGGAAATGGTGAAAAGCTTACATTCATGAGTTCTCTTTACACAATTATTTTTTTTTACAAAAGTATGACAAAAATATAAACAGCTCCACTTTTTTTTCAGCAATGGTTATGTGTTTCACTGGGAGAAAACCCTGAAATGCTTTTCACTTTTGATCCGAAATGGACTAGAAAAAGATATAAGTTTGAAAAATGTATTACAATATTTAAATATTGGATGTTTAATTCGTGATAGAGTCCCTGCATCTAACGTAGTTAGAAAATTACGATACACGTACAACAATGTGTAATTAGCCAAAACTCCATGTGTGCAGTCGAAACTTACCGAAAGAAACAAAAATGCCCTAGTTTAGAATGTTCTTTGATTGGTTAAAAAAAATATAGCTTGATAAAGTAAACGCCATTTCAACGTGGTGTAAAAAGGTTAAATTTGAGAAAAATTTTGCAAACTGTGGTAACTGATAGAAATATCTCTATCGTAAATTTGAAGCCGCAAGTCGTAACTCTCCAACTACATTAAGTACAGGAACTCTACTTTATAATAGTTTCAGGAATGTTCCTATAAAAACACAATCAGTCTAAAACTTATTAATTTCAGTAAATGAACTAATAAAAATTTAAATAAATAGTATATTTGTATTGAATACTCTCAAAGACGACTAGTATATGTAAAAGTTTCATAAATAAATAAATTATTGAAATAAAGAATTTTAAAATAGAAAATTTCCGAAATCTCGTTTGTATTTTTTAGAAATTCGACTTCTTATGTAGTATTTAGAAATTTAAGAATACATAAATTATTGAAATAAAGAATTTTAAAATAGAAAAATTTCGGAAATCTCGTTTGTATTTTTAAGAAATTCGAGTTCTTCTGCATTCNATATTAAAAAAAAATTACGGAAATGGTGAAAAGCTTACATTCATGAGTTCTCTTTACACAATTATTTTTTTTACAAAAGTATGACAAAAATATAAACAGCTCCACTTTTTTTCAGCAATGGTTATGTGTTTCACTGGGAGAAAACCCTGAAATGCTTTTCACTTTTGATCCGAAATGGACTAGAAAAAGATATAAGTTTGAAAAATGTATTACAATATTTAAATATTGGATGTTTAATTCGTGATAGAGTCCCTGCATCTAACGTAGTTAGAAAATTACGATACACGTACAACAATGTGTAATTAGCCAAAACTCCATGTGTGCAGTCGAAACTTACCGAAAGAAACAAAAATGCCCTAGTTTAGAATGTTCTTTGATTGGTTAAAAAAAATATAGCTTGATAAAGTAAACGCCATTTCAACGTGGTGTAAAAAGGTTAAGTTTGAGAAAAATTTTGCAAACTGTTGTAACTGATAGAAATATCTCTATCGTAAATTTGAAGCCGCTAGTCGTAACTCTCCAACTACGTTAAGTACAGGAGCTCTACTTTATAATAGTTCCAGGAATGTTCCTATAAAAACACAATTAGTCTTAAACTTATTAATTTCAGTAAAAGAACTAATAAAAATTTAAATAAATAGTATATTTGTATTAAATACTCTCAAAGACGACTAGTATATGTAAAAATTTCATAAATAAATAAATTATTGAAATAAAGAATTTTAAAATAGAAATTTTCCGAAATCTCGTTTGTATTTTTGAGAAATTCGTCTTCTTATGTAGTATTTAACAATTCTTAATTTGCTAAATACTACAAACGAGGAATTACAAAATTTGCAACATTGCAGCAGTTTTGATTATTAATAGTTAAAAAATACAAGATAGTGTTTCATTGCTACAGTTAAGCGAATGAAAATAAATTAGTTATTAAGAATAAAGGAGGAAAAAATATATAAATGCAAAATTGTATTTGATTCTTTATCTCTGATACACATGCTGGAGGAAAAAGTATTAAAGTATTTAAATACATTAATGACAAATACATATTAGTAAAAAACAAATAGTATTATAAAAATTTTGATTCTAAGTTGTTGCACAGAAGGCGTAGAGTTGAATGACATTGAAAAGAATTGCACATTGAAATGGATGCTGAAAAATACATAAATTGATACTCTTTATTCCTGAGGCACTTTTCTCAATTTGACCATCTATCAGATATCGAAAGAGTGTCTTGGACTATACCAAGAAGTTCATTTTATCCAAATATCTTCAGTGATGCTCATTGGTCCGTCGTTTTGGTTCTAAATTTGTCGTCACTTCGTCCGTTTTTGCTCTCACTGAGTTCTACATCAACCTAATTAAATATAAGAAAAAAAAATTCCTGCAAAATCACGAAATGAAACTTTTTCTTTTTCATATCATAATTTTTTCTTATTTATTTTTTCTTTTTTGGATTTGAGAATGAAGTGGTACACTAAAAATAATGTTTAATAAGTTAACTTTCTTCCTAATATAAGGTTGGCAAATTTTAACCGAAGAAAAAGAGTATCGAATGTTTAAATTAATAATAATTTAATATTACAGTCAAATATTAATATTATTAATATTACAGTCAAATTAGGCGAAAATTTGACCTAACCCAGACATTTAAAAGGACAAGATGGGATCCATTGAAATTTGTTGATGGGGGTCTTGGATAGCAGCACAGTAGAACGAATAGTTTAGAACAATGGCTTCCATTCTACGGAACCCTAGTGTTCTGTGAAAGGGTCTCAGGAGTTCCGAGAGTTATAAATATTTATAACCAATTATGATTTTCGAAACCTGCAATTAAATTTATATTCGATTAATAAACTCTTTAATTAATAAACTCTTAATGGTCAACTCTTTTAGAGCCAGGGAGACCTAAAGCAAAGGGGAGTGGGACATATAATTAAGTTAAGTTAAAAAAAGTCTAAAATTCAATCAACGGGCAACAAACTTATCACTCCTCTCCCCTCAGAGAGTGGCGAGGATTTTAGATTAAAATTATCGATACTTTTTAAATTCTAGAGGACCCTGAAAAATGTTATAGTCTTTTATCAAAGGAGGATAATTTTTTTCCCTAATGACACTTTCAAATCGTTATTTTGCATTTGCAAAAAAAAAAAAAAAAAGATAATGTAAAAGAGTCATTCTAGCTTAACAAAAGGTCAATCGTTTAGTAAATCCTTAATTCAAAGCTACGTTTTACGACGGAATAATCTTTTCTGCAAGTGTAATAAATAAATAAAAAATAACAAATGCGCTTATGAAATATATGCAAAGTTTTTATACGAAAATAAAAAGCATTAAAGTGTAAAAAAAAATTTTTTTTTCTTCTCAATATTAGATATTGAATTGATTTTAACTGATAAATGATTTTTTTAAATGAAGCAAAAATTATAATTTTTATAGTTTAAAAAAATAGTTCAATACTCAACAAAAATTTTTTTTATTCTGTTATGATCACTATATTTTTAAGAATATATAATTATCATTATATTTTTATAGCACAATTCTATCCATTTGACCTGACACTCAAACGAATATGTCTTAAACTATTTATTAATGGAAAATTATTTACATTATCTGATACTTTATCGTCGTCAGACCAGTTCTTGCTTTTAACAAACTTCTGCAGTAAAGTCAAATCTCGGAATTTTCCCCAGTTATTATCCTTACGTTGACACCTTAAACTGGAAAAAAAAGAGGCACAATAAGTGAAAATTAAAATCCGAAAAAAAAACACGAATAATTAAAAATAAAGTTGCACTTAAAAAATGAAATTAATTTTCCGACCAAAAAAGAGGGTTAATACAGTCATGTTTGTCAAATAAAATTACAAGATTAGTTAAATTATACACAGGATTTTAAAGGATCGTTTATTTTCAAGCATACGACGTCGTACTAGGACGGATGATAGAAACATACACTCACTTAACTTCCGGTACATGTCGACTAAATAGCCAAAAATGATCGATGTGTACAGGACACTCTTGGCCACCAGACACACTTCACAACGGTAATCATACTCTATATTAAATATATGCTATTATGATATCGAACGCTATTGCTATTATGATATTTATGCATGCTTTATTTTGAACATTTTTGCTATTATGATTATGATACTTATACATGCTTTCATGATTGTATTTTTGCATGTTATTATGATATTGAAAGCTATAGCTATCATTATTATGATATTTATAGATAAGATAGAACTGGTTCATTGAGATGTGTGTTTGGTGATCGAGAATGCAGACATTGAGCATTTGTAGCATGTACCAGATAGTGAGTGTATGTTTCTTTTCATGTATCACAAACGCTTGTACGTCGTATACTTGTACATAAACTAAAAATGAAATTGCAAATTTTACAGAAGAAAAACACTTTTTTTCACATAAAAAAACTGTTTTAAGTAAAATACAGATTTATCCATACATATTATGGAATAAAATGCAGATCTGCGATCCTTCAATATTAAAATTTCCCATTCTGTTTACAGAATTTCTCTGTATATTTGACATTTTAGCTGTTTTCCTGAGAAAGCAAATTTCTTCTGCTTTTTATCCTACCCATAAACGGAATAAAACCTTCAGTTCAAATTCTAGTTTTTGCCTTGCAGTATTGCCAACCGTTGGATATAACACCTATCTTTTTTCAAATCATCATTGTTATTTTTCAGCAATCATTTTATAATTTTGAACTTCGTATAAATAAAGCTGCGAATAGATTTTATTGGCAAATTGTTACTCTACATTATTATTAAAATTCTATTGATAGATTTTTTTGGTAAGTAAAGTTGCTAGACATTTTTATACCAGTAGGCTATAGTTATAAACGTTTTTATACTTAAATAAGTAATACTTTTAAGATAAAAAAAAGTTCAAGATAGTTCTTATTGCGACACTATAACTGCTGTAGCTCAAAGGAACGAGCGTTTTCCTTCCAATGAGTGTGACCCAGGTTCGAATCTTAGCATCGACTGGTAGTAAGAATGCTGCTCTCGGTTCGCACCCTGTACCACAATGCTGACATAGTTATGTTATAGATTTTTTTTTTTTAAGATTACGAAGTTTGTTGTAAGTAAACTGTTAAAAAACAGGTGTCAGTTTTTAAATANTTATTAATATTACAGTCAAATTAGGCGAAAATTTGACCTAACCCAGACATTTAAAAGGACAAGATGGGATCCATTGAAATTTGTTGATGGGGGTCTTGGATAGCAGCACAGTAGAACGAATAGTTTAGAACAATGGCTTCCATTCTACGGAACCCTAGTGTTCTGTGAAAGGGTCTCAGGAGTTCCGAGAGTTATAAATATTTATAACCAATTATGATTTTCGAAACCTGCAATTAAATTTATATTCGATTAATAAACTCTTTAATTAATAAACTCTTAACGGTCAACTCTTTTAGAGCCAGGGAGACCTAAAGCAAAGGGGAGTGGGACATATAATTAAGTTAAGTTAAAAAAAGTCTAAAATTCAATCAACGGGCAACAAACTTATCACTCCTCTTCCCTCAGAGAGTGGCGAGGATTTTAGATTAAAATTATCGATACTTTTTAAATTCTAGAGGACCCTGAAAAATGTTATAGTCTTTTATCAAACGAGGATAATTTTTTTCTCCCTAATGACACTTTCAAATCGTTATTTTGCATTTGCAAAAAACAAAAAAAAAAGATAATGTAAAAGAGTCATTCTAGCTTAACAAAAGGTCAATCGTTAAGTAAATCCTTAATTCACAGCTACGTTTTACGATGGATAATTTAAATCTTTTTTGCAAGTCTAATCAAAAAAATAAAAAATAAAAAATACGCCTGTGAAATGTATGTAAAGTTTTTATACAAAAATAAAAAGCATTCATTTGTTAAAAAAATATTTTTTCTCAATATTAGATATTGAATTGATTTTAACTGATAAATGATTTCCTTTTAATGTAACGAAAATTAAAATTTTTATAGGTAAAAAAATGGTTTAATACTCAACAAAAATTTTTTTTATTCTGTTATGATCATTATATTTTTAAGAATATATAATTATCATTATATTTATGGGACAATTCTATGCAATTGTCTAGATACTCAAACGAATATGTCTTAAACTATATATTAATGAAAAATTATTTACATTATCTGATACTTTATCGTCGTCAGACCAGTTCTTGCTTTTAAGAAACTTCTGCAGTAAAGTCAAATCTCGGAATTTTCCCCAGTTATTATCCTTACGTTGACACCTTAAACTGGAAGAAAAGAGGTACAATAAGTGAAAATTAAAATCCGGAAAAAAAACACTAATGATTAAACATAAAGTTTCACATAAGAAATGAAATTAATTTCATTCTTATGTAACATAAAATGAAATAAATTAATTTTAATGTCAGAAAAAAGAGGGTTAATACTGTCACGTTTGCCAAATAAACAATACAAGATTAGATAAATTATATACAGGATTTCAAAGGATCGCTTATTTTCAAACATACTACGACGTACGAAAACGGATGAAAGAAACATGCACTCACTTAATTTCTGGTACATGCGGACTATACGGCCAAAAATGATCGATGTACAGAACACCCTTGGCCACCAGAGATACATCACAACGGTAATCAAGTTGCATCTCTATGTTAAATATATGCTATTACATCGGATGCTCTTGCTATTGTGATATTTATGCATGTTATTAGGATCATATGATTTATTTTTAATATTTTTGCTATTATGATTATGGTATTTAGACATGCGTTTTTGATTATATTTTTGCATACTATTATGATATTGATCGCTATAGCTATTATTATTATGATATTTATGGATGAGATGGAACTGGGTTATTGAGATGTGTGTTAGATGATCAAGAATGCACACATTGAGGATTTGTAGTATGTGCCAGAAACTTAATGAGTGTTTGCTTCTACTTATGTATCACCTTTGTACGTTGTATACTTGTACACAGATTATGAAAGAAATTGTAAATTCCGCAGTAGAAAAATATATTTTTCACAGGAAAAAAAAAACAGTTTAAAGTGACATACAGATTTATCCATAGATATTATAGTCATACAGAGATCTGCTATCCTTCACTGTAAAAATTTCCGGTTCTGTTTACGGAATTTCTCTGTATGTTTGACTGTTTAGCTGTTTTGTTGAGAAAACGGTTTTCTTCCGCTTTTCATCCTAATCAAAAACGGATTAAAATCGTTAGTTCAAATTTTAGTTTTTGCCTTGCAATTTTGCTAACTGTTGGATAACTCTATTCTTTTTCAAATCCTTACTGTTATTTTTCAGCAATTATTTTATAGTTTTGAACTTCGTACAAATAAAGCTGCGATTCAATTTTATTGTCAAACCGGTACTCTACATAATTATTAGAATTTTTTTAAATAATATTTTGGTAAGTAAAGTTGCCAGATTTTTTTGTAACGATGGACTATAGTTATGAACGTCTTTATTCTTAAATATTTCAATAAGTAAGACTTTTAAGATAAAAAAAAAGTTCAAGATAGTTCTTAATGCGACACTATAACTGCGGTAGCTCAAAGGAACGAGCGCTTTCCTTCCAATGAGTGTGACCCAGGTTCGAATCTAAGCATCGACTGGTAGTAAGAATGCTGTTGCTGTTCTCGGTTTCGCACCCTGTACCACAATGCTGTCATAGTTATATTATAAATTTTTTTTTAAATTACGAAGTTTGTTGTAAGTAAACTGTTAAAAAACAGGTGTCAGTTTTTAAATAACAGTATTTTTTCTGTAACAGTATTTTTTCTGTGAAATAAATGGTTTTATACTGGCACGCCAGCACACTGTGACAGTTTTTTGGTGTAAATAAACATTCTGTTTGAAACTGTCCTGATGAAATATTTTGGGTAATTCTGTACTTCAGTAATTTTTTTAAAGTGGAAGTAATCAATCTTTTTTCTCATATTTTTCGAAATCAAAAAGGGCATTTTTCGAATCAAAATGCACATAAACTATGGTTACTTTCTCATTATGTAATTCTAAGAAATACAGTCGTAATTTGTTTGCATTTTCATATTTTGAAAAACCGCAACTCTACCGCCTAATTAAAGCATAAAGTACAAGTAATTAAAGCATAACATATAAAATATGTATGTATTATGCGCAATTATGAGAACAATTATGTTTACTTACCAACATAACCAGCAAATACCAACACAAGCCCAATTTGAACAAAAGAAAATCAGAAAGAGAACCAAAATGGCAATGAAGAGACGATCGTAGCTTTGATCCATATCTGTTAACAATTATGAAATTGTGAATTATAGCGCAATAATTAAAAATTGCAAATAAATTTAAAATGTTTAGCATTATTTCTTACGAAGCATAATGAACATGAAAGTTAGTGAATATTTCAACATGCAATAAAGAATTAGTCACAAGAATGACTTGCGCGTCAATATTATTTAAATTATTTATTGTAAGCAAGAAGCATTAATCTGAATATATATGCATAAACCAATTTAAGGTTTTTATTAAAATTTTATGATAGTTTTAAAAAATCAAACCAATTTTCTCACGATTGTCTAAATGGGCTGCGGAAATTGAAACTTTACAATGGGGGAAAAAAAGGTATAACCATGAATAACTGTTGCTCTAATCACCAGATCTCAAATGGAATCATTGGACTGTCATAAATGGGAACATAAATAGTTTTTAAAGTATGATGAAAAATGCGAAAATAATATTTGGGAACATTAACATTTTTACTACTTTTCTGATTGGAGTCATGTTTTACAAATTGCAGCTACGAAAAGAAAGGTAGTTTATACGCCTCAATTCTTAGAGAACTGTGACGATAACAAATTTAACGTGTGCTTTTTGGTCCATTAAAGCAGATAAGCGTGTTGCCTTTTTTACGTGTTGCAACGTGATACCACTATAGTTTCAAACTAAATAAAATGTATTTGAAAACTTGCTAATGCTTAACTACTTTTTAAGATCAAATCAAACTACACAATGCACGTAAGCACATCTGGTGATTAATACTAGAGAAAATCGAAAATCTCTTTAAAATATCTTCACTGCTGAGAAATTTGTGCAAGAATTCTGTAAAATAATCATTAGTAGTTAAAAAAAGGAAAGAGAGAAAAGTTAATCAAGGAAAAAAAATTGAGATGAAATTGCATTTTGTGTAGTTTTTTTGCAAGAATTAAAATTGATTAGACAATTTTAAATGTTTCTTTCATGCAGAGGAAGCTTGCATTAATTAGCATCATAAAAAACTGCGATTGGACGCCATGCATAAAAAGCGTATAATTGTTAAGCATGCCCACATGCATACTTTAATTCAACGACATACCACTTTTCTTCGTGATCGGTCATGGAATATCACCTCGTGAACTGTAATCTGTGAATATCAATAATTATTAGTGAATTTAATTTCAACTTTCATTTATAAATACTTATTAATACTGTTATCTTTGTAAGGCAGAGTAAAATTAATTCGGATGTAGCTTTTTCGTGAAAAATTCTAGAAAGTAAAATTAGAGCTTAATTTCATTAATAATTTTAAAAAAATTAAACATTAAAAAAAATAAAACTTTAAAGATTTTATTTTATTTTTTTACAGTTATCTTTCAATACATAATATCATCATAAGTTATGATTTTTTTCGTTGTTGAAGTTTATAATTTGTGTTGTGAATTGTTCATTTTTCTTAAATATAGTATCGATACACCAATAACTAATTAAATAAAAAAAGTAAAATCTAATTTATTTTTTTTTGTAATTTAAAAATATCTAATTCTATTTCGAACCATTTTTATCAGAAAACAAACATAGGCTCAATAAAAGCATTTATGAATTACGAATACTATGAAAAATATTTGTTGTTCTTTAAAATATTTATTATTGACTTGAATTTTAAGTTCACATCAATCGATAAGAGTTTAAAAAAAGTTTCAAAATAAACTTACTTCTAACTTCCCCCACAGAAATGCTTACATCTTTGTAATCACATCTTAGGCCAACGAATCCATCCGCACAACTGCAAAAACAGGAAAAAAATATATACTGTACAATAATTTATTAAGTTACAATTATATCATAAGTTTTTATAAGTTATCATAATTATATATAATTATAAATAAGTTTTTTTCTAAAAGGCAACAAAAACATAAAACTTCAAAAAAGAGCAATTCATTTCACTGGTTTTAGTTGATCGTAGCTTTATTGAAAATCTAAAATCGAATATTTCCTTTATTTTTAATTCATTTTGTGTTTAGATGATTTGATTTTAAAAAAAACAAAAAAAAAAGCGATGCAATACAGAAAATGACATTAATTTCCTAAAATTGTTCAAATTTTAGTGAAAAGTGTTTTCATATTTCTTTCTTAGCATCCTTTCACACACACACACACACAAAAAACCAGTCAAATTAGTGCAATATATAATGAAATTTTTCAAAATTTTATAAATTTGCTTTGTACCATATTATATTAAGATATTTTTTATGCTATAAAAACTGACGAAAAAAGTAACAATGTTTTTTTTTGCTTTGATACTGTAAAAAATATGGCATTGTAAGAAACTACGGTAAAAAAAAACGCTAACACTCTGAGTGTCAACACTTTTTACCGTAAAATTTTACGGAACAGAAAATCTTATATACCGTGACTTTTGCAGTAATGCAGTAAAATCAATGAATCACTGTTGTTAAATAAATATTACTATAAAGATAACGGTAATAAATTCTACAGTAAAAATAAATTTTACGGTGAAATAAATTTTAACGTTGCTGTTCTCAGAGTGTTAGTACCTTTTATCGTAATTTGATTCGAAATTTCTTACAATGTACTCAGAATTTAGTTCTGAAGTTTTATTTGCCACAACAAGAAATATTCCGTTTTGTCATAATTTTATTTTTTTTTAAACAAATATATTTTTCTTGAAAGTTCTGTGACTAATCAAGTATAAAATTTTAATCAACTTGATCAAGTATTCAATTTTTTAATTAAATCTAATACTCACTGTGGCTTTTTTTTATTTGAGGAAAACTCAAAGAAGCAAATGAAAATACTCATTAAGAAATTTACAGAACGTGTAAGTGAATTAGAAGCTATATTTTTATAGCAGTGAGGATATTGCTCTTTAACAAATGATTCTTATCCATATTTATATACTATTAGCAGCTTTTCTTAGATTTTTTAAGGGAAAAAAAGCACATTATTGATTATATTACCGGTAAAAAAATGTTTGTAATATAAATATTTTAAAATAATTTTTGGCGAATGAAGTAATATACCTCTACCTTTTTTCAAATATGTTTTATATTCCTTCACTGAATTAGTACAATTGGAGCATAATAGCTTTATTTTTCATATTTGTTTTACTATATTGCTAGAGTCAAAATTTATTGCGAACATAATTTTAATTTTTAAAAATTATTTACCTGTGGCTTTATTTACTTTTGTGGAATAGTTTTTGGCTAACTAATGTCCCAGTACTACCAATTATGTTTTTAGTCTTGTTACAAATTGCCCTTAGTACATAGCTTGCATTTATTTTGCTTTTTATGTTATAGGGTGCGTAAAAAAAGTTTGGTAACTATAAAACATATCGAGAAATATATACATTGGATAAAAAGAATAAAAATAGTTACATCCAATGTTTTGTGAAAGATACCCAATAATATCAACTCGATATTTTACTCCCACCTCCTAGTGTCAGGGTGGAGGGTAATTTTGAAATCTTAAATAGGGACCCCTATTCTTTATTGCAGATTTGGATTCTCCAGGAAAGAGTAATTCTATTTGAGTTGTAAGTTTACGTATTATGTTTAACAGAGGGTGCTGTAATCAAGAGAAATTAAATAGGTTTCAAACAGTTGAAAATGGCGAATCTCGAGACCCATCAGATTAAGATGATAAAAATGGATAATTAGAAAAAAAAATTATTGATTTTTTTTTATAGTGAACCAAAATTTTGGACCCTTGAAGGTTCACTATCGCGGGGTTTGACTGTATTATCATTTGCGGCGATTTCGCGTCAATTTCGACAAATTTCAAAGACGATTTATCAAAAAACGTCTTAAAAATTCGTCTCACCAAAAGAAACTTTATAACTATTTCACATCAGATTAAGATGATAAAAAATGGATAATTAGAAAAAAAATTATTGATTTTTTTTTATAGTGAACCAAAATTTTGGACCCTTGAAGGTTCACTATTGCGGGGTTTGACTGTATTATCATTTGCGGCGATTCCGCGTCAATTTCGACAAATTTCTAAGACGATTTATCAAAAAACGTCTTAGAAATTCGTCTCACCAAAAGAAACGTTATAACTATTTATAACTTAAACCGCATTGGCATTAAGTACATGCATTAATAAATGCATAAGTAGTTCAATCATGTTTTCATAATAAGAAATAATATTTTTCCGAATAAAAATATAGTTGACCTTTAAGCAAATTGTGTTCGTTTGTGCTATTTTAAATATCTGCGACGTTCTGGAAGTCTTTGAGTTCACTGCCAATTAAATTAAAACCACAGATACAATAAGAAACTCATACATTTGACTTGCCAATCAGATAGGAGGTTATCCTTTGTCTGGTTTTGTTGAAATAACATAAACAAATACTTTGTTTTTAAAATGGTTTGTTTTGAAGGGATCAAGTGAACTAAAACTAACTCAAAAATTGGCTGTTCTCTAAAAGTTAGTCTTAAGTTCAGTTCAATGGGGTGAAAACCTTTACATAAGTTATTTCCATTTAAAAGATTGATTTTAAAAATATTTGTTTTTAAGTATTATTATGATTGTTTAATGAATTGTCACGCACAAAAAAAACTGTGTATACATTATATTAATGGAATAACCTTATACATCACAAAAGTAATTACCATTAATTTTTACCATTTTAATTAAACTTAGTACATAAACATTTATGTGTGAGTTATTATAACGGTCGATAAAATAATATATAATCTAATGTATATAATTCTCTTACGTGGCTCTCAAATTTGGCCGTATTTCTTTTCCGCTGGTGGCAGCAGTTTTCGTTTTTAAAGAAGTACTTTGTACAATTAAATAAGATTCTTTTCACAACACTTAAATATTTACTTTATTTTCTTCATATATACAGAGAACAGTCGGCAATGAATTCTGTTAGGTTAAAAAACATTTCGCTAAAAAAAGAACGAATTCTAAAAGAAATAAAAATAAACAACTTAAAAAATAAAAATGCTGTTGCCAGCCATAGAATTTTTTGAAAGTTAACTTAGCAACATAAATCAAAATGACATAGAAGCGCAACTAGATCAAAATTATGATACCTGAGCGCTTGACGTAACAAATCCTTCAATTCTAAAAGTGTTGTATCGCCAAATGCCCAAATTAACAATTGTGTTCTTAAAGAAATTCTATAAAAAGTTTTAAATAAACAACCTACTTCTACAACTGCTTCTTGAAGAACTTGGCTCATTGATTAAAAATATTGTTTTAATTTTACAGTACTAACTTTACTTCTACTTTCATTATTGCTATGACCCTCTTTCATTACATTTTACAACTTCATGCTAAATTTGAGGACTTTAAGTTGCTTTGTGGTTGAATACTGAAATTTAGAAATGTGTACATAAAAAAATAATATTTAGAGGTTAAGAGTTGCCTCAGAAGAATTTGAATTGTTGACACTGAATTTAATGATGGAAACAATCGTTTTTGTGAAAAATTGAATTGTATTGCTGACATCAAAACTAAAAATATTGTGTTTCAACTTAACAATACTACCTTAACTTTTACTTATATAACTTATATATTTAGGGTGGCTTCCTTCAGAGAATTAAAAATACAAAAAATTATCTTCATCGAAGCCGATGCTTTACATCCGGCGTTCAGTGGCAGATTACTATTTCATATAGTTTTATAACACATGGCTTTAGCCCTCTGGTGGGAAAGACTTTAAAACAAGACTTACAACAGTTACTTTTCTCAACAACTGAAATTTAGAATAGTGTGATTGTGATTAAGCAAAATATGTGAACAATTTCAAATTAATATTGAAATGTACAGGTTTAGAATTTTCTACAGTGAAAAGTTTTCGGAACTTCAGTATTCGAAAAAGTATACACAAGCTAGACGTTAAGAACGTATCCAATGAGCGAGCAAAGCGAGCATTGGATTGCGAAGCAATCCGAAATGAACTGCGAAAGCAGTTCCGGGGGATGGCGAGCGCCAGCAAGCAGGGGGCGAAGCTTCCTAGTTTTATGAAATTTTTGTTGTGGAGAAATTGACTGTTATCATTTTGCATATAATCTTACATTCATATTTTCTGTAAAAAATGTTTCAAAATAACTAATATGAAAATTTGAAGCGACCAAAGCGAAATTGGATCAAGTCAAAAGCATAAATATTGTTTACCGATTAATGCTTTGTTAACAATGTACTTTTTCAAAGCCATAGAATAAACCAAGGTCTTGAAATCAAGTGAACTATAATAAACACTTTAAGGGTTAACTAGAGTTAATAAGCTTTGACCTTGGCTACTTGAAAAATATAATTTAAGGCTTAGATCCAGTTAAGTTCAGAACATCTCATACATCAATAGAAGTTATTATGATAATGATCATATAAAATATAATTATCACATTATTAATACTCCACTTTACTTAACATAACATACCCGAAAAATCATATATTTTAAGAGGGCATTCTATCTTCTTTAAATCATTCCTACAGATTTGAATTTGTTTAATAAAAAATAGATGGTTATATATTTAACAGAATTTTTAAAAAAAATCATCAGTATGATACGATGAGCTCCCAGAAGGGCAGTCTATTAAAATAATTCCTACGGATTTAAATTTCTATAATAGAAAATAAACCATCCAACAGAATTAAGAAGAAAAAAAAGTCATAAATATGATACGATGAGCATCCTAAGTGACTTCCTGTCTTCTTAAAATCATTCCAATAGATTTGAATTTATTTAATAAAAAATAGTCCGTTATATATTTAACGGAATTAGAAGAAAAATCATCAATATAATACTATGAGCTTCCGAAGTGGCTTCCTATCTTCTTAAAATAATTTCTACAGATTTAAATTCATTTAACAAAAAATAGTCTGTTATATATTCAACAGAAGTCGAAAAAAAAAATCTTCAATATGATACAATGAGCTCTCAGAATGGCATTCTATTCGCTTAAAATAATTCCTACGGATTTAAATTCCTATAATAGAAAATAGATCATTCAACAGAATTAAGAAAAAAAATCATAAATATGACACGATGACCATTCTAAGTGGCTTCCTATCTTCTTAAAATCATTCCAATAGATTTGAATTTGTTTAATAAAAAATAGTCCGCTATGCATTTAACATAATTAGAAAGAAAAAAAGCCATAAATATGATATTATGAGCTCACAGAATAAGTAAAGGAAGCCAAGGATTTTGAGCGGGAATCACACTTTAAAAAATGAGAAAAATAGAATAATGTCTTTGACTTCCTAAACCTTCGCTACCATTTGAAAGAAAAGTGTCTGAATGTGGATGAAGGATATTAAAGAAAAAGTGAAATTTAAAACCCGACTGACACTTCCGCGTAACGTATGCTTCTAATTTTATCTCCGTGATCCTCACATTACTCATAAACTCTTTAACACTTGCATGACGTACACCTGAGTTTTCCCTCCACTTCGGTTATTCACTGCTGAAAATGGATTCTCTCCGTGTTATTGCCATGCATAACCGAAATTCGCCTTTTGTAAGAGTTAAATGGGAAGTATATGGATTCTTTCCGTGCTATTGCCATGCATAACGGAAATATGCTTTTGTCTTGTAAGAACTAAATTGGACGAACATATTCTTTCCGTGTTATAACATGCAAATGCGAAATATGTCCTCGTCGTAAAAGAACTGAATGGGAAGAACATGGATATTTTTTTCCGTGTTATTGCCATGCATAACGGAAATTAGCCTTTTGTAAGAGTTAAATGGGAGGCATATGGATTCTTTCTGTGTTATTGCCATGCATAACGGAAATATGCTTTTGTCTTGCGAGAACTAAATTGGAAGAACATATTCTTTCCGTGTCATAACATGCAAATGGAAAATATATCCTCGTCTTGAAAGAACTGAATGGGAAGAACATGGATATTTTTTTCCGTGTTATTGCCATGCTTATCGGAAATATATGCTTTTGTCTTGAATGTTGAGCAAATGGCAGAACATGAATTCTTTCAGTGTTATTGACGTGCTTATCGAAAATATGTCTTTGTCTTAAAAGAACTAAATGGGAAGAACAATTTTTTTCCCTGTTATTGCCAAGCTATAAAAAATATACTTTTGTTTTGAATGAATATTGAATAAATGGTAGAACATGAATTCTTTCCGTGTTATTGCGATGCATTTCGAATCATGCCTTTGTCTTGAAAGAATTAAATGGGCAGAACATGCTATCTCTCAGTGCCAATGACACTCATACGAAAATATGCCTTCGTCTTGTATGAATTGAATAGGAAGAACATGAATTATTTCAGTGTTAATCAGCATATCGCATGTTATGAGATATGTATGCATATCGGATATGTGCCTTTATGTATATCCGATATGTGACTTTGTGTAATACGAATTAAATGGGGAAAATACTGTTCGCGTGGTATTCTTTTTTTAAATTGAAGATTTCACTCAGAAAATTAAGCTAAAAAATACTGTGGCCATGCAATGAGGTGTTAGTAAGAATGTTCTGACGAAGTCAACGACAGAGATAACATGGTAGCTCTCTCTGTACTAAAGGTGTACCCATCTGTCGTAATAGATTCGTGAATCTGCTTTAGATGCAANGATAATAAAAATAACATTTTATCACAAAGCAGAGATTTTTAAATGAATAAATAGTAAGAAAAAGCTCGGAGTCTCCAATCTTATAACTTATAATCGATGTTATTTTAATGGTCATTGTAACAGATAAGCACCGAAATTTTAATACACAGGTGCTTTGAGAATGAATATTTGTAATAGAAATAAGGTATACTTACTGGCAAACGTATTCTCTGACTACTCTATAAAATACACATGTGCCACCATTGAGGCAGAAATCTGAAGTTGGACAGGGCTCTGTCGTCCATGGACTAGATTCTATAAGAGTAAATGAACAGTGTTTTAGAATTAAAATGACAAACAATCAAAAGATTTTTTTTGAAAGACTTTATGAAGAGATTAATAATTTTACGTAAATTAGTTATTGATATTAAGTGCCATTATTAATTTTACGTAATTAATACACGCTCAGAACTTAAGTCTAATTTTTATTGCAGAAAAAAACTTTTAAACGAGCCAAAAAATATCATAAATTTGATTTATTTAATCATTATTTTTATGATGATAATAAATAAAGTACTTGAAAACTTTTTTTAATGCCCACCTGATTGACACTCGTCATTCAGATTATTAGTAGGGCAGATTTGCTGGACACTCTGTCAGTAGCACCATATTAGGTGGGCCAACGTTTTTCCCAAAGTAAGAGCAGATAGTGCAGAGAATGAAAGAATATCCATGCCTTGTCCGGGATTTGAACCCAGGACCTTTTTTGATCAAATAATGGGGGGTAAAAATTAAAAATTTCATTACTGTATAAGATGCAGTGCAATGTATACAGTGGCGTGATCGAGTAACCAAGGTTGGTAACCCGGTAATATACATATATTATAAATATCTATATAATAAATTTCTTATTGTGTGTGGATCAAGAAAAAAAAATGGGAATAATCATAGTTAATATCAATAATTGATTTACTCAACACTAATTATCTTTTCATTTTTATTAGTTTTTTCAATAACTCTTTTGTGCAAATAGTGTATTGATCAAATCAGTAGCATCAATATATTGGAATAAAGCTAACATTTTTATAATCAACACTAAAATTTTCGTTCCTGTATTGCAAATACTGATATTTTCGTTTTTGCGTGTTACAATTAGTGTTCTGATTAAATCAGCGCCACTAAGCAGTTAGAGTTGGACAAAAATAATCCCACAATTGTTTTAATACAAGAAATTTCGGTATCTGAGTCGTAAGCAGTGAACTGATTAAATCAGTGTGGCCATGCGAATGGATTAAAATACTTGCGCAAAATATCATTATGATCAACAGTGAAATTTTCTTAACTGTGCTGCTAGAAATGTACTGGATATATCACTTTGGCCAAGTAATTTGTCTAAAATAATCTTGAAAATTAAATGAGCTAATTATTTAAGAATGGAATTTTCGTAACTGAGTACTTCGTATTGAATTGACTTTAAAAAAATGGCCAAGTATTTGGAACAAATTAATTCCGAATATGTTTTATTCCGAATATGTTTCATAAAATCCTCGTTCTAGTATCATTCGTGAAATAAATGTATGTAAAATAACATTTGTACCATATTATTCTTGTAATCAAATTTTTGTCATAATCAGAAGAGTACCTTAATTAGTGAAATTAATTAGAAATGCAAAATATAAAACGATTTCCTTAAGTATTATAATTGATAGAAAACTGCCGTTCCTTAAATTCAGAAGTAAAAGTCTGTTAAAACAAAGAATCAGTTCTACACAATGCAAATAAAGTTAGTATAAAGTGATTTCAAAAGCTTACGTGTTGTTGTAGGTTGCACGGTGGTTGTTGAGGTGGTGGTTGTGGGCTTTTTGGTGGTTGTTTTAGTTGTTTTCTTTCTTGTTACAACAACCGTGGTTGAGGCAGATATGGAATCTTCACTAACTACATTTCCAGCTCTACACTCGTACGTCCCCCTATCGGAAGTACGAGCTTTTCTAATTGTAAGTCTTGAGGTCCTTCTGTAATCAAATAGAAGACAAAAATCAACAAAGTTAGTGTGAGTAAAAGTAATTCAAGAAGTAAATTTGATTTCAATAATCGATATTTAAATACAACTAATTAATTTGATTCTCAAAATATACATTTGAATTAAGACTATTCTGGATGGAGATAAATAATTCTGCAATTTTTCTCTGATGTTGAGAAGTTCAAGTAACTTTTAAAAGCAAATTAATTAAACTACCTACACTGATAAAAATATAGTAAAACTACTGTTTTGTATGGTAAAGACATTTCTTTAAAAAAAACTTCTGGTTAAAAAAAGAACGAAATATATCGGTATTCGAAACAATGATAATTTCCGTAAGAGGTGAAAAAGTTAACTAAATGGTAAAGGTGATTAATATTATAAGTAGTACAGACAAAAAATGTTATTATGTAAAAGCAAGTGTCATGTTAATAAAGAATGGATCTATAATAAATAAACTGTTACCCAACTAATTTAGGCCATAATGCTGAAAAGTTTTTATTAAACTTCATTTGAAACAAAAAAATTATTTGGCAGAAAGTCAAATTTACTGAAACTCCTGAATCTTTAAATCCTTTGCTACAATATACTAACTATACGTACCTGAAATTCACATAATCTGTCAATTTTAAAGACAAAAAAGTAAACATGTTTATTTTTCTTCCAAATTTGAATTTATAATTGCAATAAAACTTTATACACCTTTAAATCCACTAAGCGTTTGCCGCAATTTTTTTCTAATTTCATGCCAGCTAATCTTTACTGCATAAAGAGACTAATCTTTATTGTAATAAAATTGAAATTGACGAAAAAAACGACATTTAAAATATCAAATAGCGAAATTTATCAAAAGCCTACACGCGTTTTGATGTCATATTGGTACGTCTTTATGACGTAGATAGAAAAATGGAGATGATATAATTCGACAGACATCACATTACACCAATTGCGATAAATATGATATGAAGTTAAAGAGTAACAATATTAAAATTTTAATATTTTCAAATTGTTATTGTTATTCGTTATGATATCTAAATATTTGAAAAAATTAGTACAACAGTTAGATCATTAAAATAAGAATTTTTGTTTTTGATGGTAAGCAAACTCTCATGGTACGGCCAGTAGTGTTTCGCCAGGAATGAACGAAGTTCTCGGCGTAGTTTTGATGTTTATTGAGACAATAAAATTGAGTGCTCGTTTAGTTTATCCGATGCTTTGTTCGATTTCTAAAAGTAAAATAATTCAAAATCGTGTGTAAAAAGAAAACGGTATTAGATATTAGACATTATATAAAATGTATATTTAAAAAAGTAAATACGCAAACAAACGTTGAAACAAAAGCAGAATTTTGCTTGTGCCAAGGATTAGTGAAAATTTAACATCGTATACAAATAAATATTTCCAGTTTCAAATTCTGACAAGAAAAATAAACATTTCCGTGAAAACCAAGGAAAAAATTTTTTTTTCATTCATTTATTTTTTCCGATGTGACACATATTTATTTTCATAGTAAGAAGTAGAGCGTATCTCATTTAGCAAAAATATGAAAATACAAAATTTTTTTTTTTTCATTGACAGCAATTTATTGCTAGGCACAAATCCAAGTAGTCGCTCCGGTGACGTTTAATTTAATCTTGTTATTTAATCTGGAATGCTTCAATAATAAACACTCTTGTTAGTTTTTTTCGGAAAACATTTTGAATTTAGAATCAAGTTAAAAAAAAATGATTTTGGAAATACTTTCGGATTCTATTAATATTTAAAGTAATAGTAGATAGAATAAATATTTTTTTTCTGTGAGAGTTTTGTGGATTTCTAGGCAATTAAAGAGAAGATAAATTTGTGTAAATTGCAGGATTGCTTTGAAGGATGTAAAGTTCACTATTTTTGTTCAATGTTTCAAGAGTTATAAACGTTTATTTTCAAATACGTAATTACAGTTTTTTTTTTTTTACGAAATACAAATCTTTTCTCCCATTTAAAGATCTACATATCTTAGCGCTGAAATGAAATATCTACAAAGATTATTATCGCAAGCTGAATTGCTCAAAACCAATAATAAAAATCATTTGATTTTGCATACATTGAATCGTGAGTCAGGTGATTAGAAAAAGCATTGCTTCAGATGACGATAGAGCCTTCGAAAAAAGCCTTAAGCCTTTCAAATATATTATTTGCTGCTTCCTAAGAAGAACAACTTTAATGGACTCTCAAAGACAGCGGTTCCCAAAAGACGCTCCACGGAACCCTAGAGTTCCATAGAAGGATCACAAGGGTTCCAAGAGTTAGGAAATCAGTAATAATTATATTTATATATTTAAGACTTCGGTTGTTTGTAAGAAATAATTAGTTTCTGCCAACAAAAATGGAAGTAGCAAAATTTTAAAAATTATTTTTCCATAAATATAAATTATTAAAAGAATATACATATAAAAAAATTCCGTAAATATTTCCCATCCTACTTTTCAATTCAAAATAAAATTACCAAAATCACTAATAAAGAATTACGTTTCTCTGATTCTCAACGTTTATAACAGTTCTCTTTTGAAAATTATAATTCAATTTATTTTATTTATTTTCAGCATCGTCAAGAACAAAGACATAATTTAAAATATTTAATTTTTTACATAAAATATTCACGAAATAACTCGCAGTCTCTTTTTTTTTATCCATTTTTGTTAGCATATTTGCAGCTGCTGATAAATATTTTTTTGTAATCGCCAAAAGAAGTTCGATCATGTAGAGTTCCATGCCCGTAAAAAAGGGGAACTACCGTTCTAAAATACGTTTTTTTCTGTAAAAGGTTTCCTTTTCTAACCTAACAACGGTGCTAGGTTAGAAAATATATAATTATTGTTAACTAGATTTTTCAAAATTAGTTTTTTTTGTTAACTTGTAAACACGCTTTTTTCTTTTTAAGAAATTTCCATTTGGAGGATTTTTTAAAATTTATTATTTAAAATTTTCAACTTCGCTTTTTTTCGAATTATTTAAGAAAAAGAATGAAAAATCGTTCTAGATGAAAATTTTCGTTTTAATCTAATGTGAGGGAAATAAAAAAAATTTATATGTATTTTTATACAGTACTGATGAACAGTAAAACATTTGTTTCAAAATAATGAAGATGTTGTTTACATTTCTTTATTTTTAACAGTCACTAAGTATTTTACTAAAATAAGCCACTCACCTTTTTGTTTTGACCCGTATTCGACCTCTTCTTTCAATTTCGACTCCATTCTTATACCATTCAACCCACGGTATAGGATTGCCTTCGAGATGACAATGTAGTTGGATTTTAGTCCCTTCTTGTTCTCGTACATTTTGGAGACCAGATATACTGGGAGCTTTAGCTGGAATAAGAAGAATAACAATCAAAGAAACATCAATGCATCTTCCCAATTTTAATTTTATGTTTATTTAAAACTGTATAAAAAGAATTTTTCCGTCTTTAATGCCAAAAATAAATGAACTTTTCATTATTTTTATAGTGGCTTAATCTTTTTTCAGATTATATACATTGCCTGTAAGGTATGTGAAACACTTAAAATAACCAGCAGCAAAATTCAGTTGGCTTACGTATTTCGCCACTTATGTAATTCACACTCTTGAGACTTCCAGAATTACATTCTTCCTCGTGACTAATAAAAGCCAGAGTTAAATGACACTATTTTTTTCCTCCAAACATTTTTGGTAGTCATATGATAGATGAGGCGAAGGAGAGAGAAACAAAAAGTTGCGCAATATTGGAGCTGATGCACCAGTTTTACAGCCAAAAAGAATCCCTAGACTAAAATGCAGACTTTGGCCATGGTCCATAGCAATTCCATAACTGATTCCCCCCCCCCCATAACCTGCAGCGATTCCAAAAGTTTTTAAGGATGAGGCATAACAAGAAATGAAAAAAAAAATTTTAAACTCGTAAGTAAACTAATGCATTTTTTTAAAAAAAAGTTTTCTTCCGACAAATCCTTTCAATTTTTGAAAGTCTGAATTGTAAGTTACTCCAGGTATGAGTAATACAGGATAAAGAGGAGAGGACATAATCTCCAGATACATTTATGGGGATTATGTCCTCTTTGAGGTTGCATGAAGTTTATAGCTGTATTAATTTTTATTTAATGAACATAATATGTTATTAGGTAATGCTGTAATGGTGAGGGAAAAAAACTATTACAATTAAACACGACTTGAAAAATATTAATTTGAATTTGACGTAAATTCAAAGCTAATCGACTGAAGTCAAGTCAACAGTGATACACACGTTACCATAAGCTAAATATGATTCTTTGTTGTGGTAGTTTTGAGCAGACGACTAAGACGATAAAAAAAGTAGACTGTTAAAAGTATATAAACATACGATCATAAAGAGTTATTAAAATAAACTTAAATTACGGTGCTCTAGTACTATAGAAGGACGAATTTCAATAAATTTTTGAAAAAGGAGATTACTTGCTTGCATAAAACTTTTAAATCTTATCTTACGATTGGTTGCGAAATTTTGTAGCTGCAATAATTATATCCCGAGTTGTAGTAAAATAGAACATTACTTATGTGAGACGTGTATAAGTCTTTACTTAAACGTATTTTTGACGTTTTGATTTTTTGTACTTTTTAGGTTGCGACTTAGATCATAAACTCGTAATTTAAAAATTTTCATCGCTAAACCTCGAATTTTTTATGCTCCTTTCTTATGATAGTCTTTTAAAGATACAGTAAATTCTTTTTCATATGTATGTAACTTTTTCGTTTAAGCAATTTTTGTTTAATTGATTGATTTAATGCTAATGAAGCAGCTAAAATTAGTTGTTATATTACTTAAAAATTTTTATTTCATTTTTAAGCACAATAATTACTAGTATAATAGTTATTTTTTTATACATAGTATAATAGTTTTTTTTAATTTAAAAAATTTTCGCGCACATTGTGATGATATGAAAACGACATTTTTTTGCCGAATATTCCCCGAAATTTAAAAAAAAGGGAAGGAAAAAAATCAAATAGCTGCGAAATTGACCTTTATATGGTAAAACACACCAAAAATAAATAAAATAAAGTTTCAATTATTAGATTTTTTTAAGGTGTTAATGGTAGGATACACTTTAAATTTAAAAAGGAAGAAAAACAAAACTATGTGGTAACCGAAACATTTATGCCATTGGGTGTTTTATGGGTTGCTGTTGTTTAATTTGATTTTCTAGAAAAGAGCAAAACCGTCATAGTAGAAGTGTATTCTCCCCATTAAAAATTTTTGCAGCTGCACAACCTCAGAATCAGAAGGAAAAAAAAAAACACCTCATACTACGTAAGTGGCTAAGGAGAGGATTAACACACTTGGTCAGAAATTTTAACCTGTCCGGTGATTTCCCACAGGACATAGGGAAAGCGTTTGTTCAGCACAAGAAACTTTACATAGGAGGTATTATCAGTGCATATCTCGTTTAGAATAATAAAGACAAAAAGATAGTGTCTCGCTGGATAATATAGATTTACAGGACTATTATTACATGAAATTACAGGAGCTGGTCACTGAAAACAATACTGATTGATATGAAGAAAGTTTAAGTAGGCTTGAATTCGAACCCGGTTCACCTCATTGGAAGGCGAGCGCTCTATCCCCTGAGTCATCACGGCTCTTGCATATCAAATATGCATATTATAACCCGTGTTTACATCCCATATACGTACATGTCGTCATGTCGTAGTCTAATTGGAAAACATATTAGATTTAACAGCCGACATCAGTTTGCAATGCGCCAGTCGAATTGGAACAATTTCCAGTGTTTACTGACGAAATTTATATTACAAAGTTTTCTTTTTTGTGAGATTTTTAGGCTCATTAAAAAGTGCCTTTAGGATAATTCGAGAATATATTATCTGTTTATTAATTACGCCTAACTTATTTTAAGTCATATGAAATAAACCAGCAAGGTTAATTGTAATATAAACCTAAGCAAAATCAGGTTGATAGCATAATTTTTCGCACTTTTTGTAATTAACCGGAATACATATGGGCTGAGTGCGATGAATTTTAAAAAAACCATCTATTAGAAAATATTAGAAACTTTTCTGCCTGAAGTTTTTGAACCTGCTGGCGTTATCTGTGAAAATTGATCCCACTGGTTCAGGATATAGAGCTCTCGCCTCCCAATGAGGTGACCCAGATTCGAATCCACCGTTTACAGTATTGACGTAAAGTATCGTCTGTGGTAAACGGATCATGGGTTAGAATCTCCTCGATATCTAGCTGACTGTGGGAGTTTTCGTGGTTTTCCAGTTCGTGCAACGCAAAGGCGGGTTAGTTCTATCAAAAGTCTTATTCAAAAGCTGGTTTGATTTAATACTTGATCCAGAAGTTCCCTTTTCCTCTAGGTTGGGTTCAAAACTACACTGCTACGGACTTCATCAATGATAGTCGTAAATTTTAAATAAATTTTAAGCTGGGTTTTCCAAAGGTCAACCGGGTGCTCACAGCTCATGCCTCTATAATAATTGATATCCGAAACATTCTGCTTTGAAAAAAAAAGAAATCAGAATAAACTAAATTTTGGCTTAAATGCAGGTATTATTATTAAATAGTTGAAACTAGCTATTTTTTTTAAAAATTTAATGTTTAAAGTAACGCCTCATAAAATAATTTCTACTCTAATGTTTTCCGAATAGAACTAGATACACATTTTAATAAAAAGCTTCGAAGCGTTGACACCGTTTGGCATATTAACAAGCCACTTAATTTTCAGAATCTTGGCACCCTTTTTTGATAAGTAACAGAATTTTATCTTTTTAAACATTCATCGTTATTCGTTACGGTTTACATTTACTGCACGTCTAAAGGTTGAATTTTGTTTTTAGCTGTACTGAGTCATAATTTATTTTACTACTCATTCTTTTTGACTCAGCGAACGTTGATGAACTTCCATCTCAAAAAAATGCCAAATTACTGCCAAATACTTTTAAGTAATTACATTAAATGATGTTATTTTTCTTTATCAATCAAAATTAAAATAAAACTTTAACAAATGTATCAACTGCTCTCATTTGGCACGGTTTGAAAGTTTTAAATATGTTTTTGGCTAAAGTTTCTTTTGGTACATTGTATTAAAAGAATTAAAAGGATTCGTATGTTTCGATTGTATGTTGATTTAGTGGTACGAAAGCAAAAGACCTTCAATATTGTACCAAACTTAAACCTTATTATCTACTAAAATTAATTCAATAAGACGGAATTATATACAAGGCAAGGAACTTATGCAGGAAATAAAAAATACATAAATAAATAAAAATATTATTAGGATATATCGGGGACGCAAAACTCATATTTACTTACAGAAGAATCAGTATTTACTTGAAAACTTCTTTTCGAGGAAAAGAATAACCCACGTTACCAGCATTTATATTGCTCACCGATCATTTCACTGACATGATCGGTTTACTGACATCTCACTTCGCCAACACAATTAGTAAAACCATTAATTCTTTTGTTGTTGATTTCATAGAAATATTTTATTTTCCCTATCAGGTTAAAACCCCATTCAGGTATTGTGAAGTTTCTCATAAATGTAAATCAAAGGTATCCTGCAAAAGTGAATAAGTCAATAAATAACAAAAGGGAGATAACGTACCAAAGTCGTTTAATTAACAGTTACCCTCGTTAAATTAATGTTTACCTCGTCAATATACATAATAACTTGGGTGTAATGTCAAAATCTATGTATGTTGACTTAATTTTTTTCTTCTCGAAAAGTAACAAGCAATTGAATGACTTAATTACATTAACTCACATTTATTAAATCAATTTTGCAATTAAATGACTTAAGTACATTAACTCACATTTACCTAAGTCATTTAATTAATGGTTACCTTCGTTAAATTAATGTTTACCTCGTCAATATACATTATAACATGGGTGTACTGTCAAAATCTATGCATGTTGACTTGATTTTTTTCTTCCCGAAAAGTAACAAGCAATTAAATGACTTAAGTACGTTAACTCACATTTATTAAATCAATTTTGCAGTTAAATGACTTAAGTACATTAACTCACATTTACCTAAGTCGTTTAATTAATGGTTACCTTCGTCAAATTAATGTTTACCTCGTCAATATACATAATAACATGGGAGTAATGTCAAAATATATGCATGTTGACTTAATTTTTTCCCCCAAAAGAAACAAGCAATTAAATGACTTACGAACATTAACTCTCATTTATTACATCGATTTTGCAATTAAATGACTTAAGTACATTAACTCACATTTAAATGACTTAAGTACATTATCACACTATCACCACCCTTGCAGCAAAATAGCTTGGGCCCTCATTGGGCTAATATTCATGAATCTTGGCTCAATA